GGCTGCTGTGACAGGTCAGCCTGGGCTCTGACCTGGCCATGGCTCTTCACCCCGTCTTCTCTGTTTATTTCTTGTCTTTTTAGTTTGTATGGAGGTCTAGGCCTGTTCTTGTTCCTATGAGTGGTCCCTGCTGCCACGGACTGGCCCACCGGGAGTACCATGACCGTAGGAGAACCAGGGCTTGGGTAGTCAGGAAGGCAAGGATTCAGCGAATGACAGACAGACAACACATTCAGAAGTGGTTTGAATCTGCTGCAATTTTACTTCTGCAAATCAGTAGTTATATACAGAAAAGAAAACTATCCAGTCATACAAGGAACAACAAGAGCTTGGCAATAATTCAATTACATCCTCTTTTTTTTTTTTTTTTTTTTGTTTGTTTTTTCGAGACAGGGTTTTTCTGTGTAGCTTTGCGCCTTTTCCTGGAACTTACTTGGTAGTCCAGGCTGGCCTCGAACTCACAGAGATCCGCCCGGCTCGGCCTCCCGAGTGCTGGGATGAAAGGCGTGTGCCAACACCGCCCGGCTCAATTACATCATCTTTAAAAAAACAGCAAGCACACAATTATTAATCGGCGCTAGACATATCCCTTCACCCACAAGAACTTTATGACCCAAAGAGCAGTCTGTGTTTGTTAAACTTAGTACGGTCCCTAGACTTGTGTAGGCTTCTTGCATCTGTGTCCTTCATCTTTATCTCAGCTGCTCGCTAGTTTATTATTCATTTTTACTTTTCTGGTTCTCATGACCCATTTAGCCAATTTGAATGCTGCAGATCCTCCCTAAGTCTTTCTTTAGTTCTTTTATCACATATCTCTTTCAATATAAAACCTTTTTACCTGCTGAAAAACGGACTCTTATACTTTTATGCCTGTAAGGGGAAGGGGTTCTGCTGTAGTCCTTAAGTTTCCCACATTGAACTTCCTCAATGGAGGGGCCCACCATCTGCCTCCTATGAGATAACGTTTTCTGCCATAAATCACTTTAGTTGGGATTCCTAAAGGATTCCCAGTGGGTGAGTGTTCATTCCCTAGAAGTGCCTGAACTATTATACTTTCTATTATCTAGCAGCTTGGGGTCTTTAAGGAATAGCTCATTCTGCTATATCTAAATAAGGTCCATGTCCAGTTTCCCCTTTCCTCCATAGTTCACAACCCAAGCATTCATTAATTTTGGCTGTGTTTTATAGATTAATTAGAACATTATCAGAGAAGCAATTATACAGAACCCATAGCCCAGGGAGCTCATTATCCGTGAAGCACGTATCCTTCGAGAAGGAGGCATAACACGGGCACTCTGCCAGGGACCTCCAGGGAGCTTAGTCCCATGGCACACGTATCTACCGTCTGCTATTATTGACATAATTGTTCATGTCACACGGACGACACTGGAGTTGGTGTGTCACCCTGCCTCCTTATCCCTTGGGGCCCCTGAGTGACAGCATTAAGAGGTGTTTGTCCATCTTTGTCTCATCAAGGTCCAACTTAGCCACTACACTCAGGAGACTGTGGGCTGAGAAGATGAACTTCAGTCTCCTGAGCTCCTGCCTCCTTCCAGGCCCCTCCCTGAGGTTCTCTCCTTCCCCATCTTTCAGAATCTAACCCGGGTTGTAGGATGGGCAGAGAGGAGGGATCCACAGGTCTCATCTCAGTCTGTCCTGTTGGATCTGTGTTCTGCCCAAGGTCCCCTCCCCTCCCTGGCTCTGGGAATCCTGGTGCTGCCCCCAGTGGTGACTCAGGGATTTATGGTTTGAGTCTACTGGAGATTTAAGTTTATTAGAAAACAAACATATAAACCATGGTGTCGGGACTGCAGAGATGGCTCAGGGGCTAAGAACACTTGCTGTGCTTGCCTGGGACCCAGGTTCAGATCCCAGCACCCACATGGTGGCTCACAACCATCCATAACTCCTGTTTCATAGATTCCAATGCCCCTGGGAACACCAGACAGGCACCTGGTGTCATACACACAGGCAAGAAAAACACTCATCAGTGTAAAAGTAATAAATCTTTTTCTCGTTTTTTCGAGACAGGATTTCTCAGTGGTATTTTGGTGCTTGTCCTGGATCTTGCTTTGTAGACCAGGCTGGCCTCAAAATCACAGAGATCTGCCTGGCTCTGCCTCCCAAGTGCTGGAATTAAAGACATGGGCCACCACCGCCCAGCATAAAAGTAATAAATCCTTTTTTTTTTTTAAAAAAAAAAAAGATTTATTTATTTATTATGTGTACAGTATTCTGCCTACATTCCAGAAGAGGGCATTAGATCCCATTACAGATGGTGTGAGCCACCAGGTTGTTGCTGGGAGTTGAATTCAGGACCCCTGGAAGAACAGCCAGTGCTCTTAACTTCTGAACTATCTCTCCAGCCCCTAATAAATCTTTTAAAAAATAGATTGTGGAAACACCAGAGGTGGAAATTAATTCATCCCCTGCTCCATGTTTTTCCGGCCCTGCAGTATTCTCTTCTAGGTTTGTGACCTCCAGTCAGGAGCTCCAGGAGCTTAGCTGAGATGTTTGAAGCTCAAGAAGTTGACAATCTGTCATGATGCTGACATCTTTGTCTTGTGAGGGATGGTGACTTCCAGTGTCTGGGACCCAGCAGACATTCATACCCAATAAATGTTTGATGGATGAATAAAAAATAAATAAGATTATGGATCAAAGACAGAAAGGCAGGTGGAGAGGGAGGGAGGGCTTTGCTGAGGGGAAGCTCAGGTGACTCTGACCTCAGTGTGAGGGGACCTGGTGCTGCACCCGACACACCAGCATGTGGCCTGAGGTTGTATTAATCAAGGGAGCTTCTGCAGAAGAGGGAGGTGAGGGTGTGAATTTTCCTGGAGACTGAAACATCCCTGCTGGAGCCAGGAGGAGCTGAGGAGGCTCAGGAAGCACAAGAAGCTACAGGTTCCCGGAGCTGACACAATGTAGCACATCCCTCTCAGGGTTAAACCAGCTGCAGTTCCTGAGGGAGAGGAGACTGTTGAGTGGAGCTGCTGGGAGCTGTGCAGGGGACTGCAGTGATGCAGCTGGGTGAGTGACATGCACACTGGTGCGGGCATCTCAGTGGTTATCCTCGACTCACCCAGGCTCCTGTGAGTGACCAGTGAGCTCAGGGTTCAGTGAGCTGACCCTGGATGGATGTTTTCCTTGGTCAGCTGTCACTGTCTCCATCTGGGATGGAGGAAATCCACTCTTCAAGCAGGGGACACAGGAATGTCCCTTGTGATCAGACCACAGAGTCTGTTCCAGATGTGAGATGAAGTCCTGTTTCTAAGACACACTCAGAAGTGATACAGAGATGCTGGTTCCTGGAGCAAGCACTGTGGCAGGAAGATGCCTGTGATACAGTGTAAGGGAATCAACAAGGACAGGCTGAGGGTAGAAGGGAAAGTGTGAAGAATGCAGGGGAGGGGAACAGGGTAGAGAGCTGTAGATTATTTGTTTTGTTTTGTTTTGTTTTTAGAGACAGGATTTCTCTGTGTAGCTTTGCACCTTTTTCCTGGAACTCACTTGGTAGCCCAGGCTGGCCTTGAATTCACAGAGATCCACCTGGCTCTGCCTCCCGTGTGCTGGGATTAAAGGCGTGGGCCACCACCGCCTGGCGAGCTGTAGTTTTTTTAAGATTATTTTTTTTATTGTGGCATGCTAGCACATGCCTTTATTCCTAGCATTTTGAAGGCAGAGCCAGGTGGATTTCTGTCAGTCCAAGTCCAGATTGGTCTTCATAGTGACACCGTTCTCAAAAAATACTATAATATTATGTGTATGTTACTTTCTTTTCTGTTGTTGTGATAAAGCAACATTTTGAAGGGTTTGCTTGAGCTAGAGTTCCAATGTGTAAGAGTGCATCATGGCAGGCAAGCAGTGCTCAGAGCCTCAGGCTTGGTGCAGGGAGCAGGAAGCTGAGCGCTCACATCCTCAGTGGCAAACAGGAAGCAGAGAGAGCAACATGGAGGCAGACGGGACTTTTTACTCTCACAGCCCCTCCTCCCCCAGAAATGTAGCAGGAATCTTAAAAGGTCTGATTGATAAAAACAAACCAAGGGCCTGGTATTGGGGTGAACATTGGAAGATCAGAGAAGCAGAACAAGCCACAGCTAACCTCACCTCACCAGTTCCTCAGCTGATCCTGATTCCTCAGACAGGAATCCTCTGAGTCTTCATCCAAAATTAATCTCAGGTCTAGTTC